GGGATGTCCCTGTTAACCCCTCAGATTGAAGGCCATCCAGCCCATGTGACCCCAGCCCCTGTCACTCCCTACCACTCACTGGCTGGGTTGAGAAAAGCTGGGGAAGACCTGGGGCTGGGGTGGGCCTTTGGGGCCCACAGCTCCCACCCTGTCATGTACAGAATCATGGCGCCATGTGGGTGCATTTTCTGGGGAAGAGCACCTCCATCTTTCATTGGATTCTTAGGATAGTGCAACCCCCTTTGCAATTGCCAAAGGTACAGTAGTGCTGCCTGGGCCCACTGCTGATTCTGTGGAATTCCTGCGGGCTTGGGGGCCTGGCAGTGGGGTTTCTGAAGTGCCCTCAGGAGCCAGGGCTGAGGAGGCCGAGCTAGGGGCAGAGATACCACCCAGAAGAAACCCAGGTCCTCAGCATGAATGAGCCCAGATACCTGCACAGGTTACCTTCCTGGGAGGTGGGGGGATCCTCCAGGCTGGCCTTTTGAACTGCCTGGAAGGACACATGGGAATTAAGGAGGAGGACATTCTGGCTGAGGGAACAGCATGGGTAAAAACTCGGGGACTTGAATTGAGGCACATGGCCCAGGGGTGGGAGTTGAGGCAGAGAGCAGGGCAGGCTGGGGTCTGGCTTTCTCCAAGGGCAGTGGGAGTCTAGGAGGTTGCAAGCTGGAGAGGAATGGACGGGGGAAGAACCAAGGGTGATGACAACTGGCAGGGACTGCTGGGGAAGGGGAGGAGGGGCTGCTGTGTGTGTAGGGGAGGGGACGAGAAGCCCCTACCTGGGGATGAGGTGCCAGCCCTAGGGAAGGGCAGGTATGAGGAGCTCTGGGACTGGGCTGTGAGCTGAGACCATAGGTCTGGTTCTTGTCCTAGCACAGGGCTGGGTATGTGGGGACTGGCTCATGGGCTTTCGTGGAGGAGCCTCGAAGGGTCTAGCCAGGCCCTCGCTCCCACCTCGTGTTCCTCTTGCTGGCCCATTTCCTGGGTTGTGAAACCCCCGTGGCCTCCCAGCCTAGCCACCACTGCCTGCCTGCCTGGCCTCGCAGTTCCGCCATGCCTAGGCCCCACGCCCCGCCATGCTGCCAGGGCCAGCCCGGCTCCCTCCTGCCGGTCACACCACCTCCCACTCCCCATCCTACTCCGGCCTCTGTCTCCCCCGCCCCTCTGTTCACCCCTCAAGGCAATGCAGGCTGGACGGTGGCCTCCCCGCACGCACGGTCTGCGTTCTTGGAAAGGCTCCCACCTGGCTGCCACCTGCCACCTAGTCTTGCCTGGCAGCAGGTGGCACCTTTCATGGGCAGGTGCCGGTGTGTGTGGGAGAGGCCTGCATGAGGTGGCATGGAGGCATACCCCGCTCCCCAGGGGCTCTGTTCAAGGGAGCCAGACCCCAGGCCCACCGCAGTCTTTCCTTGCCCTTGCTTTGCCGGCCTCAGCCTGCCGGCCTGGTGTGCCTCCCACAGACACAGGCGCTCCCCAGGGAGCCCTCCACACCCACTCCCTCCCCCGCAGCGCGGCCCAGACCTCTCCTCTCCCTCCACTGTGGCCTGTGAGCAAGACTGAACCCAACGAAGAACTGGGGTGGAGGGGACCAGGCCAGGTCTGGGAGCCAGGAGGACCTTGGCCTCAGTTTCCCCTCTGTATAATGAGGAGGTGGACATGTCGGTCTCTGAAGACCCATCTCTTGCAGACATTTTGGCTGGTTGGCTTTTATTTTTCATCCTTGACAAAACTGTTATCAAATAAGTTATATAGAAAAACTAGAAAATGCATTCCTGGTCTTGATGGCACCCCTCGGGCCACGTCTCCCATCCTAGCCTCCTTTGTTGGAACATGCTAGCACATGCGGGGATGTACAACACACATACTTGTCCACCGGGGCCGCGCTCTGTGCCCCAGGAGCTCTGACCTCACAGTCTTTCTGGTCACCTTGAGGCCTTGCCCGCTGCCTTGCACTGGCTGGGAACAGATTTCCAATTGCCCTGCGGAAGGTGACCCGCCTACTCTGGCCTGGCCTAGCTACCACCTTTCCTTACCTCTGGGCTGCTGGGCCAGGGCAGGGTGGGCAGTACGGCCAGGAGACCCTCATTCCCTCGGGCTGGGATCCAGCTCAGCCAAGCCTCTAGGTTTTAGGAACCCGAGCCTGGTCCAAGCAGCTGGGACAAGAGGACAAGACAGCAGTTCAGGGGCGTGTTCCTCCTTCATTGCGCAAAGAAGGGGTGTCCTCAAGGTCAGGCCTGGGACCAGCCTAGGGGAATGGACAGACAGACTCCAGTTGGCGCAGGGTACTTGTCTCCTGGTGCCCTTACCTCCCTGTTTCCGCTGCCTGTGTGTGTGCGTGCGCGAGTGCTATTTCTGGCACATTTATCTATCTCCATCTCTACCCTTTTCTCTCCCTTCGTCTCTTCTTCCCAACATGGTATACTGGAAAGAACATGGGCTGTAACATCAGACAGGCCAGGATTCAAACTCTTCTACAACTGACTGGCTCTGTGACCTTGCACAAGTCACTTAGCCTCTCTGAATCTCGGTTTCTTCATCAGTAAAATATCCACCTCCTGGCCCTGCACAGGGATAAAGTAGATAATGCAAATATAAGGCTAATCTGGTACATTGTCCGCCTCAGAAAAGAACCGTCCTTCCTATAAGTGGGGAGCTGAGATTCACACCCAGACGTTTTCATTCTGAGTCCAGTGCCTGGACTTTTTAGGCCTGGCTCTGCCGCGGGTTGGTGAATTAGGAGAATGGAGGTTAGGAGCCCACGGGCAGCCAAAACAATCACCCCCACGGAGGCTGTGGGGTCCAGTCCCTGCCACCTCCATGGCCCTGCAGCGCAGCGGTGTCTGGGCTGAGCCAGTGGCCTTCCTTTGGGGCCTGTGGGCCTGGGCCGATTTGCATGGGGGCTATAAATAGTCAGCACACCTTGCTTTTGTGCTGTTGTTTCACCCCGTCTTTCCCCCACCACTGTTCAGACACTCTGCGACGTAGGTGGACAGACTCTGACTCCCTTATACAGAAGGGGGCTGTGGCCCAGAGAGGCCCAGGACCTGTCAGGCTCACACAGTGATGCAAGAATATGCCAGGGTCTGGGCAGCACAACTGGGGGCAGAGGAGGTGGCAGAACCTGGCCAGAGCCTGTGCCCTAGTTTTCGCCCTAGGAAGTTGGGGCTGGGTGATCTAACCCTAGGGTTACTGCCAGGTAGCCCCGTGGTAGCCCACAAAGACCAAGGGTCCCCTGTCCTCGTGGTACTGTGGCCTGGCTGTGCAGGTTTAGGGCTGGGGCCTGGGCCTGCTGTGGTTGTGGTTTTCCCTCCAGTGCCTCTGACTGTGAGCAGCAGCTGCCCTGAGTGTGAGCTGAGAGCGCTGGCAGGCAGCCTGAGCGGCTGGCGGGGGAGGCGGTCCTGGGCTCTGCCTCAGCCTCCTGGGGCTTCTCTGACCCTCGGCTCCTCCATGCAGGCCATCAGGGCTGGCCCCCAAGGGGACGTGGCTGGGAGGAGGAGGTGGCCAGCAGGTGTGTGGAGCACCCAGTGCCCCAGGATGAGCTGCCTATATTCCTGGAGGCTCCGATTCCCTGTCTGAGAGGCAGGATCGGTAACCAGGACTGTCTTCCCAGGCTGTTGGGCAGGTGGACTGGATGGGGTGGGCAATCTTAGAGCACTTAGTAAACTGTGATGGGAGGTGCACAGGTGAGGGGTGGGTATTGCAGTTGAGAGGAGTGGTTGTGATAAGAGGACCCCTCCCTGAGGCCTGTTGGGTTTATACTCACCCTCATCCTACACGGGCTCTGAGTTCTTGTCATCACGACAGGCCTGAACCCTGGCCCCCTGCAGCACGCTGGGTCCTTTATCTCTGTCCACCTGCCCCTCAGCCCTCGTCCTCTGAACACTCAGCAGTCACTTCCTGCCCCAGCGGGGTCTCTAGGTTCTCCAGTTAAGAAGCATGAGGCTGAGCTGAGTCTGCTGGGATCAGGCCCTGGGCATGCAGGCACAGACATGTGACAAGTGTGTGCTGTGCAGAGGGTCTGCCGATGATCGCTCCAGACCCCAGGAAGCATGCACATGAGTGCTCAATGTCTTGGACCCCCAACCAGGCAAGGCAGCAGGAGGAGCAAGACATCTTATACCCTCTCTCCTACACATGCTCGAGGCAAGGCCCGTGCAACTTGCTTTTCACTCCAACATTAACTGAGTGCCCACTATGTGCCACCCACTGCCATGGCCTTGCAGGCATATGCACGCTCCAGCCTGGGAAGGAGCCAACCAGCAGCCCACAGCTGGCTCTCCCTCCCTGCCTGCCAAGAGGTCATGGGCAGCTGGCCTAGCACACAGCACTCATTGCCCACTTGCTGGTCTCCGGCTGATGGCTTTGGGGCCTGAGCGCAGGTGTGAGCTTGCATACCCACCCTCACTCCCACTGAGTAGGAACCAGGCCCCAACTGGTGCCTCCTCTCTGCTCTGGTTGCTGGCCTCAGAGGATTGGCTGGGCCTGCTGGGCTGGGCCGCAGACTGAGGTTAGTGTTTGCCATGAGCTTGTCCAGGCTGGGAGCTTCCAGCAGACCCAGCCACCTTGTGCAGGAGCTGGAGGGAGCCCTCTCAGGGGCCGGGCAGCTGTTGTGTGTGTGCGCATGTCGGGGGGACGTGTGCCTGAATCTGCCCCTGGGTGCCGGCTTACGTTCGGGATGGAGTGAGGACATGTGCGTGCACGCAAGCACGAGAGCGTGAGTTCTCTCCAACATGGTTTCGGAGTGCCCTCGTGTGAGACCTGGGCTGGCAGCCAGTGTCCTTGTAGGTGCCGTGTTTCCCCGAAAATAAGACAGGGTCTTATATTTATTTTTCCTCAAGAAGACACCCTAGGGCTTATTTTCAGGGGATGTGTTATTTTCCCTTCAAAGCCTCAGCTCGCAGCACGCACAGGATGGCCGGGACCCGACAGGGGGAGCTGACCTTGTTGGTGGGGCTGCCCGCACCTTTCCAGTCACCTCTGGGACAGTAGCTGTCACGATGGGGCAGATGAGAAGGGCTGCTCGTCTTCTTTCCCGCTCTGCGATGAAATGCATGGGTTGTGCAGATACTCTGCGTAGCCACGCCCATCACTAGGTCTATTTTCGGGGTAGGGCTTATATTGTGCAAATGCTTAGAAATACTGCTAGGGCTTATTTTATGGGTAGATCTTATTTTCGGGGAAACACGGTAGGTGCTTGCACACCTGAGTGTCATTCATGAATGGCAACCTGAGGAGTCCCTTTGGGGTCACCTACTGGAGTGCCTCTTGTCTTGGGGAAGAGTGAGAATGGGGGAGTGGAGGAGCTGCCCTGTGTGAATGTGCAAAGTGGTTCCCCTCTCTGAAAAGTGGGGGTGTTCATCTTGGCTATGCATGTCTGCCTGAGTAGTTATGAGCAGAAACCCCCAAACTTCAAAAACCAAGAAAGGTTGCATGGGGCAGGGTGGAGGGAGGAGGGGTCACCGTCCCGCCCCCTTGGTGGGTGATGACTGGCACTGGGGTGCAGGAGCCCAGCACGTCCTAGGTACCTGGCTTGGGGTAAGTGTCCAGGGCCACTGTCCCAGCACTGGCTGGCTGTTACTGCCCAGTGGGCGCAATGTCACATCGTCCAGTTTTACCAGGGATGCCATAAATCTAGACTTACATAAAACTTCTCAAATTTTAACTTTGGCAACTAGGACTAGTGCATTTTATGCACCATGTGGGCCAAACCCGGTGGGTGGGGAGCCCTGGAGGAGTGGGTCCCTGAGCACCTCCTGTGGCTGTCCCCACTGGCTGCCTGGCCTCACCCCTCTTTGTGCACAACCCCACTGCAGGCCCCGCCATGGCGCCATTCCTGCGCATTGCCTTCAACTCCTACGAGCTGGGCACCCTGCCGGCCGAGGATGAGGCGAACCAGCCCTTCTGCGCCGTGAAGATGAAGGAGGCACTCAGCACAGGTGAGGCTGGAGGCTGGACCCCAGAGAGGGGCTGGGAATCTGGGCCTGGTGGGAGGCACTAGAGGTGCCTTGCCCTGTTCCTTGGAACCTCTGAAGGCTCCTTCTCTTCCTTGTCCTTGACTCTCTGCCCCTCCCAGCTGTGGACCCACGAAAGCAGAGACCACGGAGTCTCTAAAGTGCCTCAAACACTGGCCAAACGGAACCTTCCCTGGGGCTTGGGGTTTCCAGCGCCTCTTCCATCGGCTGTTTTACCCCACGATTTCCACATGTGCATCTGTGCCAGGCCCTGTGCTGAGCACTGAGAATGCTGTCATGCTCCAGGCCTGACCTGGCCCTGCCCCCATGGGGCTCACAGCCAGACACATGGCAAAGCAGTGAGTCCTGTGACGAGGAAGCCCAGACTCCATCTGAGCCTGGAGTCATGGAGGACTTCCTGGAGGAGGCACATATCACACACCATTCCCTCTTACTTCTGTAACTTAGCGAAGCCCTACTTGTCCCTCAGGTCTCAGTTGATCTGCCCCTTCCTCCAGGGAGCCTTCCCTGATCCTTAGACTGGGTCAGGGCACTTGACCACAGGCAGGTCTAGAACCAGCCTTGTCCTCAGTCTCATCACAGCTGTGACTTAACAGGTTACTTGAGGAACTAGTTGGTTCATTCTCCACCCAGGAGGAGGGATCTGGGAGGATGGGCACTGGGTGCAACTTCTCTCTCAGCTGTGTTTCTGGCCTCTGACACTGTGGCTGGCTCGTGGGAGCTCTCAGCAGCGTTCACTGAGTGGATGCATAAGGGAAGGTGACATTTAAGTGGACCTGGTGCTAATGGGTCACAGGAGGAGGGAACAGCAGGAGCAAAGGCCTGGAGGAGGGACCTAGCAGGCCGCCCTAGAGGCACGACAGGCAGTTCTGTGTTCTGGAAGACACTGGGGAGGCACAGCAAGTCCTCAGGGCAGGAGAGGCCCACAGAGAGGCTCTCAGGGCTGAAGGCTACAGAGGTCCAGGGAGGGAGGGACAGAGGGGCCCTGGCCTGACCTTGCCTGCCTGGCCCCACTGCAGAGCGTGGGAAGACACTGGTGCAGAAGAAGCCTACCATGTATCCCGAGTGGAAGTCCACATTCGATGCCCACATCTACGAGGGCCGAGTCATCCAGATAGTGCTGATGCGGGCAGCCGAGGAGCCGGTGTCCGAGGTGACCGTGGGCGTGTCGGTGCTGGCAGAGCGCTGCAAGAAGAACAATGGCAAGGCTGAGTTCTGGGTGAGGGGCGCGCAAGCCTCGGTCTGAGGATGTGCATGCGTGTGTGTGAGCGTGTGTGCAGGCTTGGCCAGCGAGCACAGCTGCGGGCGCTGGGCCCTGCACTGGCCACCAGGCCAGCTCTGCAGCCGACGCAGCCTGGGTTTGAGTCTCGGATCTCTGAGCCTATCTGTAAAAGGAGGAGCCACTGGGTCAGTTGTTCAGATGAAATGAGCAACCAGATCAAAGGGCTTATTGCAGAACCTGACACGGAGTAGGTACTAAAGAAAGCCATCTTCCCTACTGCGGCTACATTTTCCCTTTTAATTTTGAAAAGGCAGGATATGCACATTGTAAAACATTCTGAACTGTAGGGAAGGGTGTGTCCCTGCCCCAACACCAGGCCACCAGGTCCCCAGGCCCCCTTCTCAGAGGCACCCATTGTTCTGATTCTTTCTGGAATCTTCGCAGATATTCCAGGCCTAGGCAGGCACTGGAGGACAGCAGTGTGATGTTTAACAGGAGGGAAGTGGGAGAGGGAGGAGGCCAGTGATCCCACCCACTCACCTGCTGAAATGGAGACTCTACACATGCCCGTGTCCACCTGGCTGTGTGTTCTCGGCGGCCACAGGACCCCAGCATTGGCCCAACTCCCCTGGGCTTACCTGTGGGGCATAACCAAGATGTCTCCACCAGAAAGACCCTGTGACTACCGGAGGCTCTGGTCAGCTTCCAGCGAGGGGTGACGGGGCCAGGGCTGCACCAGCCCTCCAGAAGTCATGCAGGGACACAGGGGCCCCCGGCTGGACTATCTGTCTCTGCACTCCCCGAAGGGAGGATATCAGTCCCCAGGTCTGGGACCTGGGGGAGGCGAGGGAATAGAGGCTGGGATCCTGCCGTTAAGGCTGTGCCGTCTGTACCAGGAGCCCCCGACATAGAGAAGCAGCACAGGAGCGTTAGGATGAGTGTGTCTGTCTCTGCCTGTGGACACGGGGTTAGGTCCCTCCATTCTAAGATCCTTGCCAGGGGGCAGCGGGGGTGGGGGTGGGGAGTTTCCTGTCCTACTTTGTTTCCAGGGCCCTGTGGCTGGGCTGGGTGTGGGCTGGATCCTTTCACTTCCCCAAATGTAATAATACCCATGGGTGCAGGGTGGGGGGCGGGGCCCGGGGGCGGGGCCCTGCCCACACTGGGCAGGCACGTGTCTGGCTTGGCTTGGTGGGGCTCCCTTGGCCTGGGGGACCAACCATGGGGGCGGGTTCTGAGTCTGGCCTGGCCCAGGCCCGCCCTCACTGACCTTATTGTCCCCCCCACCATGGCCCCCAACAGCTGGACCTGCAGCCTCAGGCCAAGGTGTTGATGTCTGTGCAGTATTTCCTGGAGGACGTGGGTAAGACTGCCCCACCTGGGCTGGGGCTGGAGGGCTCACCTGCCTGGTTCAGGGGCCAGAGCCCACACCAAAGTTTAGGGAAGCAGCCCCCTTCAGCAATCTGACCAGGGCCACCCTGGGAGGGACTGCAGGGGTGCAGCCCCTCCCAGACACCGGGGCTGACTTCTCCACTCCGTGGCCCCTAGATTGCAAACAGTCTATGCGTAGCGAAGACGAGGCCAAGTTTCCAACAATGAACCGCCGCGGAGCCATCAAACAAGCCAAAATCCACTACATCAAGAACCACGAGTTTATCGCCACCTTCTTTAGGCAGCCCACCTTCTGTTCTGTGTGCAAAGAATTTGTCTGGTGAGGGCTGGCTTTGCCTGCCGGTGGTGGTACAGGGAAGGGAGCCCCCCCCCCCCCGCATCCCCTCATGCACCCCGCCTGGGATTTGCCTTTCAGGGGTCTCAACAAGCAAGGCTACAAATGCAGGCGTAAGTGTCTCCGCAGCCCCGGTGTGTGTACATGTGTGTGCCTGCGGGCGCACTGCCCGCGTGCATTCACGGGGAAGCCTGTGTCTCTGGGTGGGGACAGCCCTGGGATGGCTGGACAAGGGCTCCGTGTACTTGAGTGTGTGCATGTCAGAGTCTGCGTGTGCCGCAGTGTGTTCGGGGAGCATGAAGTTGGTAGGCTGAAGTGGGCCACGGGAGATACTTACACAGAAACCAGCCAAGGCTGCACATCAGGACTCTTTCCGGGAGAGGCGGCTGTGGGACCTCTGCTAGCACCCTCTGGCTGCACGTGCTGTGCGTGGGCAGGGGTGTCTCTGGGCACACGTATGGGAGCACGCCTTTCTCCGTGATGTGCATGCAGGCGCACTGTGGGCTGGCGCTGTGAGCGCGGCCTCAGGAGCCAGGCTGCCTGGGTTTCAGTCCCAGCTCTGCCACCTGCTAGCTGCAGGGCCTTCAGCAAAGTTACTTAACCTCTCTGTTCCTCGGTTTCCTCATCCATAAACTAAGAGTAGGGTCATTGTGAAGATCAAATGGGATAAAATATGTAAAGCTGTATTTTAAGTGCCTGTCAAGAGTAAGCGTTCAATGTAAGAAGTCTGTTGTCATTGCCACACGTACCTGCTATGTGTGTAGATGTCTTTGTGTTGGGGTGTGTCCGTGTGCACGTGTGAGAGAGCTTAGATGTCTGGGGGCCTGGGACATGGGTGAGGGAGGGAGGGGGTCTCCGCCCTCAGTTCTCTCACCACAGTGCCCCGCCCCATGGCCGCTCACTTCTGCCCGCCCTCCCTGCCCACTCGGACCCCTTGAGCCTTCCCTAGTCTCTGAGACCCTGTGGATTGGCCTGTCCCTCCTGCCCTGGCCCCTCCTCCTTTGAGGGTTGATCAGAGGAGAGAAAAACCCAGCGCTGGGCCCAAGGCCTCTGTGGGGCGAGGGTGGGCGGTCAAGAACGGTGGCTTTGTGTGGAGGGCTGGGCTGGGCCAGCGGGCGCCAGCTCACAGCCCCTGCCCCTCCCGGTGCCTTCCATCCCCCTCCCGCGCCTGCGCCTCTTCAAGAATGCAACGCTGCCATCCACAAGAAATGCATCGACAAGATCATCGGCCGGTGCACGGGCACCGCGGCTGACAGCCGGGACACCATAGTGAGGCTGGGCCTAGGGCAGGGGGCTTGGCCAGGTGGGAGGGGTTCTCCTTCTCCCCACACCTCCCCTGGGGGTTCACCCCATCCCCATTTTTCTCAGCCCTCCTTTACCTCTCCTGTGGAGCCCGCTTGGGATCTTGCTGTGCATGGGGTTGGAGGAGAGCTAAGGGTTGAGGAAGGACCTGGAGCTGGCATGTGACCCTTAACCTGTGGTACCCCACCCCCAGTTCCAGAAAGAACGCTTCAAAATCGACATGCCGCACCGGTTCAAGGTCCACAACTACATGAGCCCCACCTTCTGTGACCACTGTGGCAGCCTGCTCTGGGGACTGGTGAAGCAGGGACAGAAGTGTGAAGGTGTGTGCACCCAGCTCCTGGGCCGGGGGAGGCCACCCCTGCCCACCAACTCCAGCTGCTGCCTCCTGCTGCCCTCGCCTGCCACACTAGACGCAAGACAGGGCCGTGAGCTCAAAGGAAACTCATCGGGACTTGGTGTGGGCAGGGCCTCGGTAGCCCCTCCCCACTGGCCTTACTGGCTCTGCCATTTACCTGCTGTGTGGCCAGGCAGGTGGTTCCACCCCTCTGAGCTGTGTCTTCCAGCATAAGATGCGGGAGAAGTGGGACCTGGAGAGATACCATGTGGGGCAAGTGGGCAGAGGTGCTCACACCGGGCCTGGGGCACACCAACAGGCGCCCGGCCACGTTCCTCTCCGGCCGCCCCTGGCTTCATCTAGGGACAAGAGACAAGAGACACCCAAGGAAAAGCAGCCTAAGTTGTCTCAGACATTCTTTGAAGGGTTTAGAATTAGGTCCCATATCTTTTTCTTTTTTTTCTTTAAATCATGAAAGATCGGAAGTGCTCATGATGGCTTCAGATCCATTTTTTTCCTAAAGACAGGAAACCTAGCAGACCCCCTCAAAGCCCTCCTTTCCCTTGCTGTCCTGCCCTTTCCTCCACCCGCCCCCTTCCCCTGGCCGAGCCCTGAGGCTGACAGCCCCTTTTCTCCCTCATCCCAGACTGCGGCATGAACGTGCACCATAAATGCCAGGAGAAGGTGGCCAACCTCTGTGGCATCAACCAGAAGCTCTTGGCAGAGGCCTTGAACCAAGTCAGCCAGGTGAGCAGGATCATGAGGGCCTGGACACAGCAGTGGGGTCAGGGGACAATGGGGTCAGGGCTTAGCCACCTCTGGGGACCCACTGGGGGGGGTTAGAGCCAGGACCCCATTTCTGGAGGATCCAATTCAAGAATTTAAGCAGCAGAGGGAGGTGGGCTTGTTCTCATGAGAAATTAGTTATTCAAGTAGTTCTTCATTTGAGTGTGACCCTGGGGACCGCAGGATTGGGTGTTGGGATGCCCTGAACTAAGACTGTGCGGTGTGGGTGTTTGGGTGTGGGCAGGGCTTGAGGGATGCCATAGACCTTTAAGCTAAAATTCTCGAATCAATCAGAAATTAAATTAACACAAATAAATTCTATTGAATGGGTGATTGGGAAGGCAGGGTTCAATCTGCAAAATTTCTGTTTGTAATCAGTGCTTTCCAGACCAGCAAGCCTTCTCTGCTCTGTGCGGGGAGAGTGTGTGTGTGTGCACTTGGGCTCACTGCCTGGGGGGCTGGGCTGGGGCCTGCTGGGCCCCATCGGTATTGGGGGTGGGGTTATGGCTGGGGCTCTTTTCTCTGGGCTGGGAGTTCTGACCATGGAATGTCTGTCTGGCTCCCACCTCTGCCCCTCAACAGAGAGCCTCCCGGAAATCGGACTCAGTGCCTCCCGAGCCTGTTGGCATATACCAGGATTTCGAGAAGAAGACAGGAGTCTCTGGTGATGATTCGCCAGGTGAAGCTGAGCCCATTTCCACCATTGCCACCACTCGAGTGCCTGTTCCTGACCAGGTCACAGAGTGGGTCAAGTCCTCCCTCCCGCTGTCAAGGAAGGAGGAACCACCCATGGGTAGCAAGCCTCTTCTTCTCTCCTCTCACCCCAACCAGTCCTGGGCCTCAGGGGAGGGGAGTTGTGCTACTGAGACCCAAGTCTGAGGTGCCATCTCTTGGGCAGACAACAGCGGGACCTACGGCAAGATCTGGGAAGGCAGCAACAAGTGCAAGATCGATAACTTCACCTTCCACAAGGTCCTGGGCAAAGGCAGCTTTGGGAAGGTGAGTGGCTGTGAGGCCCTGGGGCCGCCTAAGGGACCAGGCTCCGGAGCCTGGGGCACCTGCTTCCTTCTGTGCCCTGGCTGGGTGGCAGAAGCTGGGGTCTGTGGGTGGGGCTGGGGCCTTTGCCCCGTCCTCCCCAGCTCAGCATCCCCGCCTGCCTGTCAGGTGCTGCTCGCAGAGCTGAAGAGCAACGGACAGTACTTCGCCATCAAGACCCTGAAGAAGGATGTGGTTCTCATCGACGACGACGTGGAGTGCACCATGGTGGAGAAGCGAGTGCTGGCGCTTGCCGGGGAGAACCCCTTTCTCACCCACCTCATCTGCACCTTCCAGACCAAGGTGCCTCAGTCTCCTGCTGTCACTGCCACACAGCACAGCCATGTGCCGCAGCCCCCTGATGCGGAGGCTGTGTCTCCCCTCAGAACCCCGGGACGGGGCCGTGTCTCCTCTTCAGGCCTCCCAAGGCAGGGCCTCCTCTTCTCCAGACTACCTAAGGCAGGACCATGTCCCGCCCACCCACGGCTCCCAGGGCAGAGTTGTCCCCTCAGCCAGGGCCCGACCCCCTGCTTCGTGTTGGGGCTTAGCCCAGGGGCCCCAGGGAGGGACCCTGCTACCTGTCTCTCTGCTCCTGCTCACCATCTTGCCACCCCAGGACCACCTGTTCTTCGTGATGGAGTTCCTCAACGGGGGCGACCTGATGTACCACATTCAAGACAAAGGCCGCTTCGAGCTCTACCGTGCCACGTACGTGAGTCCCAGTGTCGGGGAAGGGACATCGGCTCAGGGCCAGTCTGTCCTCCACTTCTTTTTCTGTCTCCCTGAAGCAGCCAGCTTGGG